GTTCTCTCCCTTACACCAAGCGCAAATGGTATCTAGGGTCACCTGGAGGACTTTAGATATCCTCGGCAAACAGGTTCCTTTGACCATAACGACAATGTCATCAGCATAAGCTTGTATTTCCACACCAACGGCTTCGACTATCGCAATCAGATCGTCAACTAGGAGGGACCAAAGCAGGGGAGATAACACCCCTCCCTGCGGGCAGCCACCTCCCGGCCTGAAGCGTATCGTATCACCGTGGAGTGAAGTAGAAACTATTCTACTATCTAGCATATTGCGGATCCAACCCGCTATAGTTGCTTCCACTCCCCTGTCAAGAGCAGCTCTTTCAAGAGATTGTGGTATTGCGTTGTTGAACGCTCCCTCTATATCCAGAAACGCACAAACCAAGATTTCTTTATCCTGCAGCGTCCTGGATACTCTACCAACTAAGTTGTGTAGAGCCAATTCTGCTGATTTTCCCGCTTGATAAGCATACTGGTGGCGACTCAGTGGACCAGATACCAATGGCACCGTACGGATATACCGTTCCAGAACTTTTTCAAGGGTTTTCAGCAGAAATGACGTTAGGCTGATGGGTCGAAAGGCATTAGGAGTAGGGACCGAACGGCCCGCTTTGGTTATGTAAGATACCCGTACCTTAGTCCATTCTGCCGGCACATATTTCCAGGCGACACTCGCTCTGAAAATTGTAATGACGTTTGTGGAATGCCTAATTCCAAAGAACGACGAGGAATGGACAAACCTGGGTTTTCTTCAACACTGTTCTTGAGCGACGTGCACGGGTTTTATTCTTCACATCACTAACTTGTCCCAACAGCTCGAATTTTTGTATTGCGGTCCGACAAGGTGCTTCACGACGACCCAAAAATGTTCGAATTTTAATAATTTCAATGCGTTGTTGAAGCGTGTATCGTTCCATTTTTATTAATGGCGTACTTTCTACTTGTCAAATGTCAAAAAATGACAGCTTCAAAAGTGACATCTACCGAAATAACACTTCTTATTGGAAAACGTCAAAAATTTTATACTTTTTTTAATTTTAGCCGAATATGAAGTTGGTGCCCCAGTAGCAAATACACCATGTAGTTTCTTAGTGAAAGGTTCCGCAAAACCAACAGGAGTGATACTATCACCGACGTATCCCGGTGCTTATCCGAAAGCACTACATTGTTCGTATCAGTTTTTGGGTACCCCAGGACAAAGGGTTCGCTTAGAATTCAGGGACTTTGACTTGTTTTTCGGTGGTCCACAGTAAGTTAATTGTACCTGTTTGTTTGAGCTTTGAAACTTTTTATCAAATTTATTTTTTGTTGTAGCTGTCCCTTTGATTACGTGAAAGTTTACGACGGCGCCGATAACACATCGGCCGTTATCGGGACTTATTGCGGCCAACAGCGTAATTTAGTCCTTTACTCGTCGGAGTACTCACTGCTGGTCACGTTCGTGACATTGCCACGCACTGCCAATACTCAGAACAGAGGCTTCAAAGGAATCTTTGAGTTTTCAAACTCATTTACAAAATTAGGTAAACCAATTTTATTAAGGGTTTATTTTTGGTGGCGGTTATTTTTGTTACACTGTTGGAAATAATTCACGAGCACACCCTGTATAACCTGAACGCGTGTGTCTAGCGCAATAAAATTTGGTATGGAAGTAGTACTAAAGTAGTGTAAATTACTCTCTCATGGAGAGCGGCACAACTCTGCTGGGAGGAGAAACATCAATAGCGAGAGTATCCCCCGTGAGCTTCGCGTACTATCGCTACACGACGTGGCATGGAGTCTAACAAAAAAAAAAATATCACTACAGTCCTTGGACGGTCTATGGGCCTTGCCCTTTTACCGTTTTTACATCATCATGCAATATAAGAACTCACTCATTTTCGCAAAAGAAATTCTAAACAACAAAATATCGGAAAACAAAAAAGCATTAAAACACACTCACAAAACCTTAAAACATTCTATCCTAACAATAATTCCAAAAAGTAGCACAAATTCAAAACGTGACTAGAAACACTCCCCAAAACTTAACCCACAACCCTCTCTACCCATCGTCTATACGCGATCTACTCATTTCCAACGCCCTCCTATACTCCGGACACCCCGTATCAAGCACCGAGTGTCCGGCGTCCCTACTCCTAACCTTGCAATTCGGGCAAGTCTTAGGTTTATCTCCATTCTTACAATCCTTTCCGACGTGTCCCTCCACTCCACAACTTCTACATACTACAGCCCTTTCACAAAACCTCGCAACATGACCAAAAGCCAAACACTTGTTGCAACGCAACACCAACACAATGTCACTCACCTTGTACGAAAAGCTTCTCACAAAAATCCTGCCCCTTCCAATCAACCTTCTCCTTATACCCGGCGAAACCTCTAAAATAACATTTGATCTATCCTTGTTTCCCTCCCTACGAACGTCCCTCGACCTAATCTTTATCTCCTTCTTAACCTCTTCCTCCGTCATATCCAGATTTCTAACGGCCAGTTCGCGTACTAGTTCTTCTGTACTAATCTCTTTTTCTACATCATACAAAATAACGCACGGCGCTGCTTTCCTCGGTGTTTCAGCCTTCAAACCTAACTCGTTTAATCTACCACTCTTCATAATCACTTCCACATCTTCATTCGTCTCGTTTCTATCACCACTCCATTTTCCCTTATCTTCCTTAAATTCCTAACCTTCACAGTGTCCAAGCCCTTCAGCATATCCTCGCACACCGCTCGTTTAACCAACTCGCTGTTATCTAATTTTCCGTCTTCTTTACATTTAACTATAATCACATTCTTTCCTCTTGGTTCCGATCCCATCATTCTTGTAGACACCGCCCCAGCATAAGATGGTGCCATCGCACCCACCACCGGTACCCTTTGCATCGCTTTCAACTCCTCAATAACACGCTTATTCACCTCATTTTCTATCACCAACTCATTAAACAATTCCTCTACTTTATTAAACCTCTCCAGTATTGTCAGCCTCGTGTTTTTTGAAAGCCTGGACGGATCATTGATCAGAAAGCCCTGCAAGTCCTGCTTCACCATACGCATTCGCTCAAGTGGACTACTAACATCCTTTTCCGGCTCTACCGAGATATCTAAATCACATTTTTTTCTCTTTCTTTCGGTCATCGACGTCGGCAACGACGATGCCCTTCCTCTAGGAATTGCCCCTTGCTCTTCGTACTCGGACGTCAGTGGACGAACAACCTCCTCTATACGCTCAACTAATTGCGCCACCTTCGGCGGAGACCTAAGCACACTGCCTCTTCTTCCAAACGCTAACTGTTCCTCCTCTGCCATCTTTGACGTACCCTCACCTGCTTTTCCTTTCTCCGACTCCTTTTTGTCCTTTCCGCCTTCCATCTTACTTCCCTCCTTCGCTACCTCCTTTTTTCCTCCTTCCTTCTTGGGATTGCTTATCTTACTCATCTTGCACTATAATGTGGCATGGAGTCTATGAGTCGCTGTATTGTAGCGAGAGGGATGGCCAACCATGTCACCTCAACTCGTCTCCATAGCTCCTCAACGTTAGCCGGAGGAAGCCGGATAACGTAGAAGTCTCCGACCAGTCATGTCCCAAACATGTTCGATCGGATTCAGATGCGGAAACCGAGCTAGCCATGGAAGCATTCGTATACGGTGCTATTCCACAAAGGTCTGTACAACACGCCCGATGTGTTGTCGTACGTTGTCGTGCATGTATAGCAGACCTGGGAGCCGCCGAACGTAGGGAAGCACAACGGACCGTAGCACCTCATCTACGTATCGTTGACCCGTCATGGTCTGCTATACAGGCAGCAGACGTGTACGTCCACCATATGTAATTGCACCCCATACCATAATGCTCGGTTGTCGGTGGATAGGGTGCTCTTGCATACACTGCTCGAATAGACGATCACCACGGCTCCGATGAACTAAAATTCGCGCATCACCGGTGCTCAATTCGAATCTTGATTCGTCGGAAAACAAAATGTCCCTACTAATGCCTAGTGTCGACCCACTCGTGACGTATGCTGCGGTGCTCGGGTGTTACTGGAATCCGCTGTATCGCACGACGCGCGCGCAGTCACTATCAGATCACTATCTACCAAACGCCGCAGTACAGTTCGCGTAGTGAGTGCGCCTTCCCCTGCCGGTGGCCAAACAGCTCCAAGTTACCTTGAGGACACACACGACGCTAAAGCGCTGAGCACAAGAGTGCGATCCTCGTGTGTTGAAGACGCGCAGGGTCGTCCCGGCCGCGGCTGAAGGTACCTATGTCCTACCTCAGACCATTCTCGCCATGTCCGTTGCACTGCCGATAACGACGCGCAATTTCACAGAACGATACACCCTCAATGTGCATACCCACAAACATTCCTCGCTCAAACTCGCTTAAGTAACGCGATCGCCTATCCATTGCGCACAGAGTACGATAACAACGTGGTCCCTCACACCACACTAAAAACGACCAGTATTTTCCATCCACTTCGGTCTCCATAGCGACGGAATGTTCCACTTGGAAGAGCGGCTCAGTCAACAATGCCGCGACGGAACAACTCGAAACTCCCTGAATAAACTCGTCTACAGTAAACCTTTGTGCCCCGCAAGTATTATGGATTTATCTTCAAGCGTTCAGATTATATAGGGTGTGCTCGTGAATTATTTCCAACAGTGTATATTCATTCTGAAAGCTGTAAGACTTGGGGAGCTTCTTATTAGGGTTAAGTGTGCGTTTAAAGATTATTTCTTCGAATATTGATTTATTCCACGCCTAATACAAAACTTACAACTACTATCATAAAACAACATAATAATACTGACTGTCACGTACACGGACGCAAAGCATGCCGGGTAATAATTAATTTACAAACTAATAGATGGCGTTTTAAAATTAAATTAAATTAATGCTACAAAGCGTTATTTTTTTTTAGATTTTATAAGTAAAAACGACGGCGAGCACATCCGGGGATCGGAGTGTGACCAAAAGATCCTCAGCAAGAAAGAATCAACGGGTTTGGTTTTTAGTCCGAACTATCCGTTTCCATACATGCCGAAACTTGTCTGTAGATATTTTATTTACGGGATGCAAGATTCGCAACATCTAGAACGGGTTAAGCTACAATTTATGTTGTTTGATATTCCGAAAGGTTCTAAAGGAGAGTAAGTTATAAGAAAGTGTAAATTTTTGAATCTTAATTAATTTTTTTTGTAGTTGTACCGATGGTTATTTAAAAATTTACCTCAAAGGACAAGAAACGACCGATTCCTACGACAAATTTGATTATGAAATGTGTGGTAACGAGGGTAATCCAATTTCAATGGTTTCTGATGGACCTAGATTAGTGATGGTTTTTAGTAGTGGAGAGATACTTGGAAGAGGATTTAAAGCGAATTATACTTTTGAAACTGGTAATATTAGTTAATCGATTTATTTGACTCTTCGATTTATTTTTATTTTGCTAGAATATCGTATACCTGGAACAGCAGCACCTGATGGAACTTGCACATTTACGTATCGAAGCACAAGTAGAAAACGAGGAGAATTTAATTCGCCGCGATATCCCTCCAATTATCCCAGCGATACCAACTGTACCTATTTATTCCTAGCTACACCCAACGAACAGGTTATGTTAGTTTTTGATAATTTTAAGGTACGAGCCGATTCCGCAAATTCAACCGTTGGCTCCTATGGGTAAGAAAAGAAATTAAATTAATTTTTATAAAAAAATGTAAACGTTACATTTTTAGAGCTTTAGTGTGCCAAGAAGATTGGTTAGAAATTTTCAATGTTTACAAAGATGGCACGGAAAAGTTGGTGGGTCGTTATTGCGGGATGACGGCTCCCGGACCGATCGAATCAAATCGTGGTGCGATCGGTTTAAAACTACTTCTTCATGCCGATTCGGAGGGGGTTTACAGCGGTTTTAAAGCTCGTTATAATTTCGAAACGGCTAAATCGATTTTCGGCGATTGCGGCGGTAATGTGAGCAGTTTAGATCATGGCGTTATTAACAGTCCTAATTTTCCTGAAAACTACGAGGGACCCAGTAAGGGGTTATCTTCGAAAACGTGTAATTGGTACATTAGTGTCAGGCCTAAATATAAGGTTTTATTAGAATTTGAACAATTTGCTATCGAAGGTGAACCTATCAGTAAGTTTAAAATTATTTATTTTTTTTTTGCAACCGATTTTCAAGTTAAATAAAAAATCTTTTTGTAATTCGCTACGATAATGGAAGCTATAACAGTACTCAAACGGGTGCTGTAATAAGACTCATTACAGCATCCGATGTTGTAATGAGATTTTAGTAACATTTTATGGAACCAGTTCAAGTTGGTGACATTGGGTCATTAATTTTTCTAGTTGTCAATAGGTTCGTTCCAACCGCACTTTTGACTGCCAATTGACAGTCACCAGCCTGCGCAGTTGAAAAGTGCTGTTCCATCCGACCCGTGGACGTGCCGCGGACTGGTCGGCGACAAGTTGTCATGAGTTCCAACGACCGTCGGACGCGTTCATGTACGAGTCCGCGACAAGTCAAATGCGTACCTGGTTTCGACGATGTACGGTTTGTCACGTTCTTTAGCGCTTGCGCATAACAGCGCATAACTCATTTCCAATTGTGCAGCCGGTCTGTTTGTATCTCTTATGGGTATCTTTACCATCAAGCGTGTCTGTCACGACGAGCTGAGTCTATATCTATGTGGCAAACTACTGGCACTATTTCTCTGAAAATTTGTATATAGCGTTTATCCGAGGTGCTCGTTTCAGCTAAAATATTTTCAGTTTTCTCCAACTTCCGGTTATACCGGAAATGGACCCAACTTCGTTATTTTAAATGGAATGCACCAATTTTTATAGAATTTTTGAGATCCACACTAAATTTTAATACAATTTGATACAAGTCATCATATGTCTAGAGTGCACCATTTATGAATTATTTCAGTTTTTTCGAAAATTATGGCAGATGCAACCCTTCATAATGAAAGTAATTTTTCGAAATTACAGGAGTCCGGCCAAATATTCTCAGGGTTTGCACAGAGAGGACCCATAGGTTACATAACCCTTTAAAAGTTTTTTGAAAAATTATACAGAGTTGTCAGAAATTTGCCCCGAATTTCCCTATCTCGAAAAGTCGAAAATTTCATCTTTTTAAATGGCAACCCCAATTTGGGGTTGCTTTTCAAGTATTATGTAAGCTGTGGGTCGTCTCTGTGCAAACTTTGACAATATTTGGCCGGACTCGACCGTAATTTCGAAAAATTATATTTATTGTGAAGGGTTGCATCTGCCAAAATTTTCGAAAAGACTGAAATAATTGAAAAATGACATGAAAGACATATGATGACTTATATCAAATTGTATTAAAATTTGGCGGGGATCTCGAAAATTCAATAAAAGTTGTTAAAATAACGAAGTTAGGGTCCATTTCCGGTATAACCGGAAGTTGGAGAAATCTGAAAATATTTGAGCTGAAACGAGAACTTCGGGTAAACCCATATGCAAAATTTCACAAAAATAGTGCAGGTAGTTTGCCATATACATATAGACTCATCTTGTCGTGACAGACCCTGTACAGGGTGTCCAAATTTCGATGGGTTTGTAGGGTATCTCAGTTATTATGAAAGATAGAAAGTTGCGGCTTTCGCGAACTTACTTTTTTGAGAAATTTACAATGGCGCAAACCAAATTTTCATATGCCTCTTCGTTTTTGATATACAGGGAGTGTTTCCAAATTTACGATTTTCAGACACCTCCTGTATCTCGGCTATCCGGAAACGTAAAAACGGGTTCTAATAGATTTTTTCACGTAGAATCCAATGGTGCACGTAGAATTTTTCTAGTCATCACGGTTTTTGAGTTATAAACACAA